GTGGGAGGGCTTCTAGTGTCCTTGCCCCACTGCTGGACCTCCTGATGGCACCTGGTATTTTTGGCCACTGTGTGACACAAGACTGTTGGACTGGATGGGCCATTGGCCTGATCCAACACTGGCTTCTCTTATGTTCTTAACTCAGCCTGGGGCAAGTGATGTTCTGTATTATTGGTGTTGGGGGGGGGGAAACAGTGGGATGGTTTCTAGTGTCCCGGCCCCACTGGTGGACCTCCTGATGGCACCTGGTATTTTTGGCACTGTGTGACACAAGAGTGTTGGACTGGAGGGGCCATTGGCTAGCGCAGTAGAACCCTTATGGCCTACTGACACATTAAATTTACAGAGCAAGAACACCTTCTCAGGGTCTTGTATCAGCCAAAGCGTAACTAACTTCTGTTAAGGGAATTTGCAAAATCAGTCTTATTTAAAATCATAAGAAGTGCCCAATGTGGTCATATCAGAGTCCACATACCCTGGCCTGACCCCTGCATGATGGAAAGGATTGATGCAGTGTATTGATATGATATGAAATTTGACAGGAAGCCCACTTGAAACACACACCACCAACATATGCAAACACAGGAGGCAGAAATGATGAGAAGCAAATATTGAAGAGGTTTTTTTGTTTATTTTGATACAAGTGGTGCTGTTACATATATATAAATCCTACATAGAAAGAAGCTGAACCTGAAAGTTAGAGTTACCTCAGGCTTCCAAATAAGTTCATTTCAGAGAAATGATTTTAAGAAGGTAGTTGCTGGCATGATGCTTAGCTAGGTGGGGTTTTGGTGCAGTGTACTGGAAGTGACATCATCGGAAGGGGAAGTGGCATCACTTGCCATTTGACCTGGAAGTGATGTCACAGGAAGTGACATCACAGGAAGTGACATCACAAAAGTCTCCTGGCTCCACCCCCAAAGTCCTCAGATATTTCCGAATTTGGATTTGGCAACCCTATAACACATGTAGAATAGCTTTGTGTGTGTTGTCACATGGAATTACTGCATATTTTGTGACATGGATGTAGTTTTTATGTACAGTAGCAATACATCAAAATGAGAGCCACAGACACTTGCTGGGGGACCTTGGGTCAGTCACACACACTCAGCCTAACCTACCTCACTGGGCTGTCCCCAGTCTTACCGGCCCTGCCAATGCAGTAAGGATGGAACTCTGCTCCAGAGCGAAGATCCAGCAAAGGCCCCAGGGGACCACGTCAGGCTGCGGTCGGCAGCAACAAGAACGGTCCCGGGGAAGGAAATTTGAGCGAACCGTGGTAGGCGGCATTCACGGTGGGCCAGCGGCACAGGGAGTCCCCTGGTGGCCGCGGCCCCAGTCGCAGACTCCCTTAGGGCTCTTTTCCTTCGGGCTGGAGAGTTCTCCTCTGCCTCCCATATCTGGGAGAGTGGAGCAGGGAGTTTGCGAAGGTGCAGGGGGAACTGCAGACAAGATCCCGAGTGCAGAGGATGCAGCGCAGAGACCAGCGGGACTGAGAGGATTACCCCAGCGGACCCACGGTAAGCAACCACCAGTTAATGGGGGTTGTGCATGGGTGCTCGGGGGGGGGGAACGAGTGAGAACTCCCACCCTCCCCTCCCCCCTACAAGTAGAACCCCGGGAAGGGGCCGAGGGCAGGGGAGGGAGTTTTTCCCCAGCCCTATAAAAAAGACTGGAGCCGCCCTACATTAGGAGCAATGGGAGAGGCAGTTGAAGGGGTGTGTGTACCTGGGTTGGTTCCCTTTTTTGAGGCATGGAAATTCACGGGTATTCATGGGCAAAGCTACCTAATGACCCATGCAGAGGCAGAAAAATCTAGAGGGGGAGCCATTTTGTGAGCCTTGCTCCTGAAGGTTTCTCTTTCACTTTACCCCAAGCAT